AAAGGCGCCAGCCACAGCCCTGCAGTGGCAACAGGATGCTGGTGGCGGGGGGAGGGGTGGCGCAGTGCTCGGGACCCCGTGCCAACTTCTCTAGCAGCACCTCCCTCCCTAAACAGATGAGGAAGCCATTCATCTGGCCTCGGGCCTTCTCTCTGGCCCCAGGCCAGTGCCCCTGGGGCGCGGCGGCAGGCCTCCGGCCAGGGAAGGCCCCCGAGCCCCACCCCGCTGTGAGGGGGGCGCGACTCACGTACCTTCCTGTGCCCAGAGAAGAGGAGGCCGAGCTGGTGGCTGTAGCCCCCGTTCTTCGTGAGCTCCTTCTTGAGGGTCCTGGGCGAGGGCAAGGCCCAGCGGGCCTGGGAGTGCTGGCTTTCCAGGCAGTGCAGGGTGGTGTCGGAGGTGAAGTAGTGGCCCTTGGCCTCCTGCAGCAGGCTGCCCTCGCTGTGCGTGCGGCGCCGCAGGGAGCCCTGCAGGGTCAGGGTGCAGGCCTCCTCGCAGCCTGGCGGCTCAATCATGCTGCAGCGCTTGACCTCGTTCCCCTCCAGGTAGTGCTGGGCGCTGTCCTCTTCCTCCTCCTCCTCCTCCTCCTCGTCCTCATCCTCCTCGCCACTGGGGCCCTCAGCCACACTCTCGGCGCCCTGGCTGAACGTGCTGTCCAGCCGCAGTTCCGGGATCACAAAGGCCGGGCTGGAGCCAGGCTGCTTCTCCGCATGCCTGGCCCCTGTCTCCACCTCCTTCTCCTCCAGCGGGGCAGCCGGGATGGCCTCTGTCAACACCCCCTCTGGTTCCCCTTCGGGGGCCGAGCTGGCATCACCCCCCTCTGCCACCTTCTCCTCCTCTGAGGGCATGCCGAGGGGGGTCAGGAACATCCCCCTGTGTAATGTCCTTCAGGCCCAATCATTGACTCTCAGAACAGGGGGACATGAGGCAGCAGCCGGGCCCGGACACCCCATCCCCATCCCTGCTGGGGGCTCTAAGGGGAGAGGCAAGAAGGGGCCGACAACGGCAGGGCTGCCCCCACGCATGGAGTAGCTACAGGTGCCCTCAGCCTGAGGGGGGTCAGGAACATCCCCCTGTGTAATGTCCTTCAGGCCCAATCATTGACTCTCAGAACAGGGGGACATGAGGCAGCAGCCGGGCCCGGACACCCCATCCCCATCCCTGCTGGGGGCTCTAAGGGGAGAGGCAAGAAGGGGCCGACAACGGCAGGGCTGCCCCCACGCATGGAGTAGCTACAGGTGCCCTCAGCCTCAGAACAAGGAGCCAGGCAGGGAGCTCAGCAGGCAGCCTGCCTGGCCTGGCAGCCCTCCTGGAAACGTGGCTCTGGAGAATTCCTTCCTGCACCCCCTCAGAACCCAGGGCTCCCCACAGCCCCCGTCCGGGCCCACTGGCCACCCTCCAAGTCTGTCCCATGGGCCCTGCCTCGCCATAGGGCTTGGGCAAGTGGGGCGCACTACACCATGGCATGGCCCGCCTGCACCAACGCCCTCGGACAGTCCCCGGAGCGCCGGGGACCAGGCTCTGGGACCTCGGAGAGCTGCAGTCACTGTCAGCCAGGCTCCCTGGGCAGGGAGAGGCGGCGCTGGCACGCACACAAGGCCAGGCTGGCCCCAGGCTCCCTGGGCAGGGCGAGGCGGCGCTGGCGCGCACACAAGGCCAGGCTGGCCCCAGGCTCCCTGGGCAGGGCGAGGCGGCGCTGGCGCGCACACAAGGCCAGGCTGGCCCCAGGCTCCCTGGGCAGGGCGAGGCGGCGCTGGCGCGCACACAAGGCCAGGCTGGCCCCAGGCTCCCTGGGCAGGGCGAGGCGGCGCTGGCGCGCACACAAGGCCAGGCTGGCCCCAGGCTCCCTGGGCAGGGCGAGGCGGCGCTGGCGCGCACACAAGGCCAGGCTGGCCCCAGGCTCCCTGGGCAGGGCGAGGCGGCGCTGGCGCGCACACAAGGCCAGGCTGGCCCCAGGCTCCCTGGGCAGGGCGAGGCGGCGCTGGCGCGCACACAAGGCCAGGCTGGCCCCAGGCTCCCTGGGCAGGGCGAGGCGGCGCTGGCGCGCACACAAGGCCAGGCTGGCCCCAGGCTCCCGGTGCAGGTTCCAGGCGCCCAAGGGCATGGCATGGCTTACTCTGCATGGCATTCCAGCGCCCCCGGGACTTGGCTCAGCCCCCCGGGAATCCTGCGGAGCTGGGCCCCACACTCTGCGCAGGACGAAGCAGGGAGTGAAACCAGACACACTTGTCTGGCAGCACCTGCCCCTGCCCCTGAAAAGCAACCAGGAAGTGCCGGCTCCCGAGGCTCGGCCAGCCTGGGCATGTTCCGACAGCCTGCCTGTCAGGTTCCCCCCTCCCGGCCCCCCGTGCTCCGGGGCAGTGTTTCTCAACCTTGTTTTGCTCATGGGCCCCTTCTGAGCCTCGTTTACCTCTGTGGCCCCCCTCATAGCTGCTGTTAGGTCAACGATGTACCTTTTTTCCAACTAATGTTCCGTTTTTTCCACGTGGGCCCCTAGAGGTAGGGCGTGGCCCCTGGGGAGCCATATGGCCCATGGTTGAGAACCACTGCTGTGGGGCGCCGAGCTCCCATTCCCGCAGTGCTGCTCACGAGGGGGCTGTGTCCCCCGCAGCGCCACAGGGGGCCAATGAGCCAGGCTCCAGAGAACACGGGCTCTTCTCGCTGATAATTGTCAGGCTGGCTCTGCACCTTCCGGTTTGAGACAAACAGCCCTGGGCCTATAGTGAGCACATCCAGAGGGCATCAGAGCGGCCATACGGGGCCAGACCGAAGGCCCCCTGGCCCAGTGTCCTGTCTGCCCAGTGCCAGGGGCCCCAGACAGACTGCTGCTGCGTGGCTGGCTCCGAGCCAGGCCCAGGGTCACGGCCACGCTGAGGTAAACCATGCCCCATGTGTGTGGCCAGCAGGGGCCACCTCCCTGGGCGGAGCAGTGCTCCAGGCCGGTCCTGCCCCAGGCCTCGATTGGAACAGGGCAGGACTTGCCCAAGCAGCCTGCGGGCACTAAGAAATCATCTCTTCTTGGCGCACCCAGCAACATGCAGCTGGGCAAGTCTGCTGGAGCCCCCTGACGTCCCCTCCCCCAATATAAGTCACCCTCTAGAGCCTCCAGCTTGGAACCCCCTCGCTGGAGCCTCGGGAGAGAGGGGCGTCTGGGGAAAGATGCCAAAGGAAGCACCAGCAGGGCCCTGCTGCTTCTGTGCCGGACCCATACCTGGGAGGAAGGGCCTGATCCTGCCCCTCCATCTGCGCTGGCGCATGGGGGCGAGGGGCCTCAGCCACCCACAGGCTCAGAAGCTGGGGCGGGGCGAGCGGGCCTGGGAAGGTGCGTGCGACCTGAGACACCCACAAAGGGCCCTTTAAACAGCAGCAGGTTGCAAAGCCGCGCACACGATCTCCTCTGGAGCCGCCCCAATGGCCCAGTCTGGCTCCCCTTCGGCAGGACGCCACGCCAGCCCTCAGACTGCAGGAATGGCCGCCCACGGCACGGCGGCCGGAGTCACGGCCCGTCTTGCTGCCTGGCGTCAGCCAAGGACCGAGGCAGCCGAGTCTCCCGCAGCCTCCGGAAAGGGACAGTGGTTCTTGCACTGCTCCAGGTGACTCAGGGCCGGTCCCCGGTCCCTCAACTGCCTGCGGGGGCCCGAGAGCTCTTCGGTGGGACACCAACCACTGCCTCCGGCTCCCAGCCAGGGGCCAGCTGCCATGGCAACCAGCCCTCGGCAGCCATCCCCTCCACAGGGCTTCCCACCTCTCTGGGACCAGCAGGGTTCGCGTTTCTCGGCCTGCCCACGCCCCGGCGCTCCCACAGCCTGTGCAGAAGCCCATCTCTGCTCTGGTCCGGACCCCGGAAGACAGGCGTGTGCTGGGGAGGAGAGGCCCTGCTTGCTGTACTGTGCGCCTCCAGCATGCGACCCCGAGTCCGTGTGTTACAATCAGGCAATGCACACACACCCCACACGCCTTTTCTCAGGCATCAGGTATTCCACAAGGGCTCCAGAAAGAATGTGGGGACAGCCCTGTCCTCCACGTGGCTCCCCAGTGCGCAAGTCCCAGGCAATGCTGAAGGGCTCTGGCTACACCCAAGGGTGCCCTGCTGCTCTCCTGCTCCCTCTTTCGGTAGTGGGGGAAGAGGAAGTAGAGACTGGCCCGTGAGGCGTCTGCAGGCTCCCGCAACAGCCATGTCTCCGGGGGAAGTTCAGCCCTTTGCTTCACAAAGCCAAGAACAAGGGAGCACTGCGAAATGCCAAGGAGCAGCCATTCCCTCAGTACAGGCCCTCCCAGCCCTGGGGAAATCGTTAACCTCTCCCCACGGAGCTCAGGAACCAGCCGCCAAGCGCTCCTTCTGCCCGCAAACCCACTTTGTATAGATTGTCGCTCGCGCTCAGACTTCCCACGCACCAGGGAAGCTGCTGCCAGCTCTGGGCAATGCCACAGGGGCCCTGGCCACTGGGCTGGCAGTAGGCTCCGTCCTAGAGCAACCTTTGGGGCCCTTTCCTGCACCCCACATGCCAGCCTCAGTGCACCCCCGAGACCTCTTGCAGAGCAGGGCCCAGAGTCCCTAACCATTTACTTTAAAACAATTTCCTCACCAGTTGGACCTCCCTGGTCCGGCACCCTCGGGACTGGACTGCTCCTGGATGAGGGATTTTGCTGGACCAGGGGAAGTCACTTCTGGCTTCCCTGCTGCCAGCCCCGCTGTCTGCCCTGCCGCCCTACCTGGCTCCTCAAATCCCAACGGGGTTGTACACCTGGGCTTCCTGCTCCCCCCACAGCCTAACTGGGAAGTGCGCCTAGCTTACCCCACCCCACCGCAGCCCCGCTGAGCCATGCGCTGGCTCCCAGTCCCTGCTGGGCTCCTTCCCACCCCCCACATCGGGTGAGGCTCCCAGGGCCCCCTTGCATTGAGCCCCCCAACCCACACAGCACACCTGGACTCTGATCCTGGAAGGGCCATGGATGTTGGCGGACCAGGGTCCTGGTTTAGAGAGGTGCAGCCTGTGGTGTGTTGCTGAAGAGAATACGATCACATCTCTAAAAAGTGACACCCCCTCCTTGGGCTGTCATTGAGAACAGCCCCCCACCCCCACTAGTGCTGCGTGGGGCCCATAAATCCTAGGGATGCCCTGACGATGCGTCTACACGGCAGCATGAGTAGCCCAAGCTAGATCCACACCAGCTCACCTAACACGCACAGTGCAGCAGCAGGACTGTGGGTAGCTGTACGGCTATCCCCGCCTGCCCGGCGCACGCCCCAGTGGCCGCCCCAGCACTGCAGCGGTGGCCTCACTATCGTCGTTACTCACACTAGCTGGTTCCCAACGAGCCGGGGTCTGTCTACACCTCTGACTGTTTCACCGACAGGCCCAGACAACTGTCACGCTGTTCAGCTTTTGAACCGCAATGATCTGGAGTCAAACCAGAAACGTTCCAGACGCTCAGGCTCAGGAGCTCCAGGACAACGTCTTGTACCAATGTTGGGTGTTTCCAAACTGGCTGTGTGGTTCTCCTCCTTGCCCGGGTGCCCAGCCACCCTGCCAGCGCAGGCATTATTCTGTTGGTGCATTCTTTAGAATGCTCATTTCACGACAAAACGATGGGAAAACCTACCCAGGAGACTTGCCTTAGTGTCCCCTGATTCGCATCAACTGCTGCCGTGTCTGCTCACGCCCGAAGGCTGCCTATCAGATCGGTCCTCACGTTTAATATTGTCGGCTGCCCGGAGCAGATAAGGGCTAACAGGAAATGAACAAGCTTCTTTAAGATGAGAAACATTTTTGGATTAAATTAAATCTCTGGGCAAATTCAATCACAGGGTCTGCTCTGAACAGGATATGAGCAGATCTGCCCCCTCCAGAGCCACACAGTTTTCTCTCTCAGCCAGAGTGTTAAGTCTCAGCCAAGCGGGTAGGGCTGGAGTTCAGCACCCCAGAGAGGCTGACAGGGATATGACCAGTCTGTGGCTAGGCCTACACTGCAGAGTTTTTGCACCCAAATCCTCACGGAGTGTCCTCACCTCAAGCGCGTTTTTGTGCAAGAAAATGTCCAGTGCACTGGCAGAACAGAGGGGGTTTGTGGTGTAGGTATTCCTCTTCCTACGAGGAATAACTCCTTTTTGTGCAAGAGCTCTTGAGCAAGAAGGTGTGTGTGGATGGGAAACGGGGGGGGGTTTGCGCAAAAACAGCCTATGGAAAGAAGCACAGGTGCCCTTTCTGTGAGTGGCAATGAGAGCTTTCTTGCGAGAGCACACCTGTGGAGTCAGGACACTCTCTTGGGCAAAAGCACATCGCTTTTCCGAGGCGCTTCTGCAGAAGATCTCTTCCATGAAAAGCTTCTCGCGCAAGAAGCCTGCAGCGTAGACACAGCCTGTGAGAGGCAAGAGAATGGCAGTAATTGGGCGGAGCTGGCTCAGGGATGGCAGAGTCTTTGGAGGACGACAGGCAGCCACGAGCTCCATGGCTCTGTGTGCACCAAACGGAAAGGAAACATTATTGGCCCAAAGAAAACACCCAGGGGCCTGGGCAGCTCAGGGGACTCCTGGTAACTGGATGCAGAGCCTCCCTCTGGGCTCAGTCAGCCAAGAGGATGAGCAGCTGATCATCAGCCACGTCTGTCTGGTGCCTGTAGCCGAGTCAGACATTCCAAGGGTCATTGCGATGGTCCCATCGGACCCCAGGCCTGGCCCTCAATCATTCCTAGAGCTTTTTAGACAAACCGATTATTCACCACATTGCCCAAGTCTTTTCAGAGCACCCACCACTTCCCAGCAGTCGCCCGCTCGGTCAGTCTTGCTGACAGCCGTCGGTATGTGTACACATAGCCGGATTTCAATGATAGTCGTGGGTTGTGCCCTGTTTGCCCAGGGATTCCCATCACTCTGTATCTGTCACCTGTTCTCTTCGTTAATTACTATGCCTCCCATTTTGGTATCACCTGCAGACACCGACGTCGGTGACGACTTTACATTGGCCTCCCATCTCAGAGGGGAAGCCGTGTTAGTCTGTAACTTTAAAAACGACTTTCAATGCCACAGGACAGTTGTATTCCACCTCGTTGATCAAAACATTAAGTAGGCCAAGAACTGATCCCTACAGAACCCATTAGAAACACAACCACTTGGTGACGAATCCATGTTTGCAATTACATTTTGAGATCCATTAGTAGGATAATTTGTAATGCATTTAATAGGGTAGTTTTATAGAATTCTAATCAATGTCACGCCGTCCCAAGTCAAGTGCCTTACCGAAGCCTAAGTCTGTTACATCTATGCCATTACTTTTACCAACCTAATTTGTAAGCTCATCACAAAAAAGATGTGACCTATTTATCCTTAGCACGTGGATTGGCATGAACTATATTGCCCTCTCCAAACAGGCGGTCTCCTCTCAGATGGCCACTTGGAGCAGCCCTGCATATGGCCCTCGCCTCAGTTTCCCTCGCGGGTCCCCAGGAAGTTTGTGGTTTATTCTCTAGCTCATCCACAGTTTAACCACCAAAACACAGCACGAAAGTCCCAAACCCACTGTACCACCTGAGTCCACACCAACTCTGTGCAGGTTTAACCCCCCGGCTTCATTCCCACCAGTCTTCTGCCAGACATGGACGCCTTACCGGCCTTACCCTCTGACCCTACCCCCTGCAGAACAGTCACGCAGCCTCTCCTTCTGGGGCACACCACTGTGCTTCCCGCCGGCCCCCCACACCCTTCTATGGGGAGACTCATGGCTTCTGTCAGACCCAGCTCTCTGGCAAGGAGAGCTTCCTTCCTGCAGACCTCTCCAGCCAGCACCCTGCTTGCCGCTTAACGACTGAATCTACCCCGCATGGAACCTCCTCATCCGGCGAAGAACAAAACACGTGACAGCAACACCAGCTGGGCAGCAGAAGCGGTGCCAGCGCAGCCGGACTGGCCAACGGGCTAGCAGGGCTTCCTGGTGCAGGTGTAAATAAGCCCAGCAGCTTAGAACCAGCCAAAGCCAAACGCCAGCCTGGCTTGAAATGGCTCAGGGCCCTGGAAGGAGACAAAGGCCTTTGCAGGAGGAAATGATCCCGTGTCAGCAGCCTGGGATAATCTCATTACTGTCATCCCCAATTGATAGTTCTGGGAAAACGAGGCCTTAAGAGGGCCTCACACAACCCTCGCTGCCGCCGCGCCCCGCCACATGGCCCTACAAGGACCAGACTCCACACACTCTAGAAAGGATTTTGACACAAACTTTCGGTCGCCTCCGGAACGACGTTTTCCCATCAGGGTGGCATCTTGGAGACAGAAGCCGCCAACCGGCACCTATCGGCACTCCCTGCGCAGCCAGTCCCCCCCCCCCTTAACAGAGGCCCAGAGAGACGGGGGCGTATGTCTGGGAACCCTGCTTGCCGCCATCAGATCTCCAGCTGTGTACGTTCAGGGTGCGGGGGGGAGGTGCATGCCTGTGTGTCTGTGTCACAAGCTGGAATGGGTTACAAACACAAGCCTTCGCGGCCGGCACGCCGCTCCTCGCCTCCTGGAAAGAGGGGCTCGCCTTCAGTGTCTCAGGGTCGATCGAGGGGGCATGGACGGCAGGTATCCCAGGCAGGGAAAGGTGCTGCCTTCCGAAACTGCTGCACCCGGCCCCGCCCACGCCCAGCCCACCCCCATGCCTGCTGGCCAGCTCTCTGGAGCTCCAGGGAAGGTTGGGGAGTGCTACCAGTCTGGGGGGGCGACGGGGGGGGAGAGGAGGCAGGGAGGGGTATGGGCTCTGGTGGGCAGGGTGGGGCGTGGCGGGGCGGAGCGTGGTGTGCCTCCCCAAGCCATGAGGTCACCCACGGACCATGCAAGGGAGCCGCATGCTCCTCAACCTGCATCAGTCCAAAGTCAGGAAGAGAACAGGTCCAGACCTCGGGCTTAGCTCCGCCAGGCCAGTCCTGATGTGCCAGGGGCGCCGTGCGGACACTGTCCCCCCAGGAGCGCGCTTGCTGACGTAATGAAATGCTGCAATCAGCTCAATTAAAACCAGCACACCCGGGGCACCCACGCACTCCTGGCCAGGTCCGTGGGCTCACCCACCCCCAGGCTCTTCACTGCTCACGCAGCCCGCTGGACCTGCAGCCATTTCCTTGCGCCATGTTACTTTGCAGCAGCCGTGGTGCCTGGCTCCCAGCTATGAGCTCTCTCAGGCTCTCACCTGCCCTGAGTTCAGCCAGGCTGCAAGCCCTATGGCCCGATGCCCATCACCTCTGCTCCCACAGCGCTGCTCCATCTGGTGAGATGGTCATACGGGACGCCTGTTCCAGGCTAGATGAGACACAGCCCAGGACCCGCTGGACCCCCCAGAACTGCAAACCCCTCTGCTGCCCAGGAGACGGAGCGTGCCAGGCACCACTGGAAACAAGCAGCCCCCGGAACCTGGCAGCTTCTCCCCAGAATGGGAAGCCATGTCGCGTGGCTGGATTTCACCCGGCCTGAAGGGCCAACAGGCATTGGAGACCCCAAAGCCAAGGAGTTCACCTGCATGGGCAAGACCTTTGGGAAGTGTGAGGCCACGTGCGAGCAGGGCACAGATCCCTTCTCAGCACAACAGAGCTGAGCTCTGGCTGCCGGCAGCACGCTCCTAGCAAGCGGAGAAACATACAAGGAGCTAAGGGACAGAAATGCAGTTGCAGCTCTGAACCCGCCCTCCCCAAACTGCCGGGGTCGGACACCCTACCCAGGAAACGGAAGATTGTTCCCAGCTACCTTCTGCCTGCGTCCAGCCCACCCCCCATTTCGCTCCCAGCTGAGAGGAGTGAAGTGCGCACACCCCCATGCAGACACACACACCCCCTGGTGTCAAGCTGGCTGATGGATCACACCCCTCTGGGATAAATGGCTGCAAAAGCAGTGAGCACGCCTTCCCCATTCCAGCAGAAAGCTCATTGTTTGTAGCTCTCAGTGTAAAAGCGGCTTTTGCCACAGGACGATTTCCCCAAAGGGCCTGGCTGACAGCCCAGCAGAGGGGGAACTGTAAGCAGCTGCGCTCCCTGAAAACCCCAGCTCAGTTCTCCTTCTACTGCTGCCACCTTTCCCCCCCCTAATCCTGCGGAAGAAGGAAACTTTCGGCCCAGCAGAAAGCTCATTGTTTGTAGCTCTCAGTGTAAAAGCGGCTTTTGCCACAGGACGATTTCCCCAAAGGGCCTGGCTGACAGCCCAGCAGAGGGGGAACTGTAAGCAGCTGCGCTCCCTGAAAACCCCAGCTCAGTTCTCCTTCTACTGCTGCCACCTTTCCCCCCCCTAATCCTGCGGAAGAAGGAAACTTTCGGCATCACTTTACAAGGTTACAAGGCAAGAAACCGGTTTCCTCCCCTCTCCCCCCCCCCCCCCCCCCGCCA